AAAAAAACTGAGGTGTAAACTTTTATGGAATGACCAATATATAGATTTTGAGAAGACTTTTATTTGCCAAATAGAGAAGCCAACAACGAATCGTGGAATGTACAAACGAAAAGCGTTCTTGATGATTTGGAGCTGTGGCAAGCGGAAGAGGCGCCAAGTCGCAATGCACAACTGCGGACGTAACGACGAATTGGGAATCTTAGGCGCTATGTAGCTTCAATTACGTTAAGCGTAAACCCCAGTGTTGCCAACTTTTGATTTTCAGAAAGCACCAAAAACTTTGAAAAAAAAGCGTTTTACCAAACTAAAAGCACTAATTTGTTTTGAATCAAAGGATGCTTTTTTCATAACGGTTTGTATTTAACAAAAGCAAAAAATGAACAATATTTTCATACATAAATCAATACACAAAACTTTTTCGCTCATAACGATCGAATAGCCTCTACACATGCTATGATGACTCATGCTTCCGACGTAATACCGAAGTACTATTAAAACTAGTATATCTCGAGAAAGAAAAATCGAATCGCAACAAACGAAAATAATGCTCTAAGTAGAAATGAGCAAAAAATTTGTTGTTTTCATTATATAACCTCAAATATCGCAAAAAACCGTGTTTATGGCAATCTGGGTGTAGGATATCTAAAAATTCTAGTACTAGAGCAATTGTACGGCCAGATTTGGATTCAGCACCAAGAAACGATGTGTTTTACGCAGGTGGTAAAAAAATCAAAATTTGTACAAACAATTAGAAAAGAAAAAAGAAAAACTTAACTTACCTGCGTACTGGCATTTTCAACGCGAACAGAATTCAACAAGGTGGGTTTGCAACTTCAGCTTTTTATCAATCATGGTTGTATTTTAGTGCATTTATATTTGTATATTCTTGTAAATTCCGCATTATTTCAGGTTTTAACTATCTCGGAGTAATATTAGTTCATAAAAAGCACTAAAAAGGCACTAGGCACTAAGTAATTTTTTTTAGCGTTTTAATTTTCAAAAAGTACTAAATCTGGTGCTTAAAGCTCCAAGTTGGCAACTATGGTAAACCCTTTGCAAAACAACCACATGAAAGATGCAAATTCAGCTGCTGCATCTTGGAACATTCTGAAGGAAATTTAAGGATTTGCTGAACCAAAAAGTACTGAATACTCAGAATATAGTATCGTACGTCAACACCATTATAGACATCGTTGAAAAACTGGACGGAATTCATGCCAAGTTACCACAGGAGCTTTTGATCAACATGATGTTGCCAAATCTGCCAAAGTCGTATGAGTCATTTATAGTCGCGATAGAGGCGCGATATATCCTTTCAACGTTGAGTCCACTAAAGGTGAAGCTTATCGAAGAAGGCAACAGGAAAAGTGGACTAGAAAGAAATGCAGATGATGCTAGTGAGCAGGCTAAGGTTGCGCGTGCCAACGGTGAAAGGATGCCGGAATAAAAAGAAGCGTACAAAGAATCGAAATGTGAAGTGCTTTAATTGTGGTGGGAATTACAACTATTTCGGGAATTCATGTTTCGGAACTCCTCCCGACACTCTTAAAATAGTCCCATAAATTTAGAAGCAAATCCTTCAAATTTTGATGTAGTCCTGAAAATTCTGAAATAGTCTGAATCGCGAAACAGTCCCGATTAATCCTCAATAGTCCCGAGAATTTGGATGTGGTCCTGTACATCCTTAAAATCTTAAAGTAGTTCGGAAGCAGTCTTAAAAATCCCGAAATAGACTTGAGAATCTCGAATATCTATAAGCAGTACCAAGAAATCAGCTTTTAAAGTTGGAATGGCGACAAGTCAGACCGAGGAGATGTACATATACATACATATAGGCTGCATTCCAAAACGTCAAAATACAAAGCATCAGTCTCTTTTACTTCTAGACCTCAGTGGATTATAATTCCAAATTGTCGCAACCAAGGTTATATGCTAGTTTACAACTAGGTTGCGCAAGTTAGATTTTTTAAGAAATAAAAGAGACTGACTTTTTGTATTTTGACGTTTTGGAATGCACCCATATTCTACTGACTTATATATACACATACATATTTGTATATATGTACATACGTAGAAAATGTGTATAAAATGTTAAAATACCTTTAATCTTATTCAAATATTATTTTCGTCTAAGTAAATACAATTGTTAAAAATTCGATATTAAGACAATGTCCAATGTATATCACAAAGCAACAATTTTGCACAGGTGTTTTTTGGAATTAAAATAAAAAAACCGAAATACTTCTTAAAATACGAAAATGCATCGGCTAAATTTTGCTATAAAAGACCCGCAAATTTATGTAAACTTCGCACAATTACACACAATTACAGTGCAACAGCAACGGTATTCCCGAAATAATGAAGTTATCAGTTTTCCTATTTTTAGGCCTCCTGGCCATGACATCCTTCGAACTCGTGCGATGTGATGAAGATGAGGGGCAGAACACTAGCGAAAAACTCATAAAAGATACGAAGAACGTGAATGTTAGTACAAATATAGATCCTAAAGATCCGAAAAAGCCTGTTGACGTCGAAAACTCTGATCCGAAGCCAAGTACAGGCACTGCTGCTGATAATCATAAACAAGGGGGGAAAAAAAGTAGTGGAGAGGCTTCAATTGGCAGCAGAGAAAAAAATCGAAGCAAACACGGTAATCCTAAAGCTAAAGGTGAAGGTGATGGTAAAGGTAAAGGTAGAGGTAAAGGGAGAGATAAAGGCAAAGGCAAAGGCAAAGGCAAACCCAGACACAATGGCAAAGAAGAGGAGGATGACGACGAGAGGAATGAAGAGGGGGATACAGATGAAGACGAGGGGAATGAAGAGGGGGTTACAGGTGAAGAGAGTGATGGAGACGAGGGGAACAATGGGGGGAATACAGGTGAAGATAATGATGGAGACGAGAGGAATGAAGAGGGGAATACAGATGAAGGGAAGGACAAAGACGAGGGGAATGAAGAGGATGTTACAGGTGAAAAGAAGGAAGAAGACAAGGGGAACGAAGATGGGAATACAAGTGATGATAATGATGGAGACGAGGGGAATACAGAGGGGAATACAGATGGAAAGCAAACTTCATAAGAGGCGGATAGCTAAAAAATTCGTTTCATATACTACAAACGCCAAATGCTTATACCAGATAATTGCATAAATATTTTATTTCGATTGATTAATTTTGCAAAAAACAGCATTTGACGAGGATGTTAATATTCAACACACGAAAATAAACCGAAAAAAACAACATGAAAAACAGAAATGAACTTTCGAAATGGCGCACATTCTTCAGCGATACCCGATCCGATTAGATTAAGTTATTTTTAGCAAACTTTATATAAGTACATGTGTAATATTTAAAATTGTTAGCTAAATATTAGGAGATCTGCTTGAGTTCCTATACCAAAACGGCGAAAGTCAAGTTGTATGTATATATTCAAAATGTTTATGCTTACAGTGGAATTTCAATATTATTTAAATAAAGTTAAGAACGAACAGCATAAAAATAACAAAGCTTTAAATTACATCAGCGTTTCTCAAACTTTGGTACGCGTGCCACTGATGGTATGCGATGTCGGTAAGTCCTGACTAGAAACTATTACAATAATCTTATTATATTAAACGAGCAGTTCTGGTATATATATATATATATATATATATCCATAGGGTCCTCGGAAACGGCTCTAACGATTTTGATGACATTTTGTACACAGATAATGTTTTGGATTCTAAGGTTATCTGAATAGGAATTATTTCCGAGAAAACTCGTATAAGGTGGCCACCTATTCGAAATTAGTTACAAGTCGATTAAAACATCATAATATGGGTATCAAATGGTACGTATTTTAAAGATCTTTAATTCGAAAATATTTTTAATAAGGTTGCCACCTATTTTGAATCGCATATTTATTTAATTTTTTGTTTAGCAAAAAAGGTAAATTATTACTATGCATGGGTACCAAGAGAAGGTTCTTAAACAATGCTTTCCCTATATACAAAATGTTATCTCTTAGGATAATAGTGTAAGGTTGCCACTTATTTTCGATTCAACACAATTTATCTAAAACATCGCAATATGGATATCAAATGAAAGGTAATGTTGGGAACTTTGGTCAGAAATCAGGGTTGCTACGATTCATAGTTTCAATCAATTTTTTTTTTGTATGTATACATAGTACATATACGATCAAGATATGTACCATTCATTCCAGCGTATTTCGGAATAGGGTTTCCACCTAAATTTTGGAGTAAGAAATTTACTTAATAGATATCGAAATCCAATTTTTTTTGTTTATTTCCAAAATAATTTTCAAAGCTATGAAAGTCTTGAAAATTTTAAAAAGTATATGCACTCCGGGCAAAGCTCGATCAACCTGGTACTGTAATTTACAAGTAAAATAACACTTCTCTGTCACCGAGAATTCATTTGTTGAATTTACTTTATTGGGTTACCCTGTAGATATGGGACAGTCCCTGATTTTTTGTGGATATTTTTGAATATGACCGGAAAATATGCAAATGGAAAAGGAGCTCAGGAGTTGCTCCTCCCACTTCCTAAATGAATAATAAAATGAAATCAATGGAATATTTTAAGACATTTTTTCAGACTTACTTAACACACTCTCGCATTTTTCTATTTATCTCACTCCTGTAATATACCTGATGGAATAAAGACGTACTTGAAGTAAAATTCCGTTGTCTATATTAATACGTTTTGACAGGTTATGGGCCGACGCTGTAAAAAAAAATTGAAGTTTACGCAACATTCGATTTAAAAGACGAAAAAGCAGTATGTTGAGTATAAGGCCTTCTCAACTTTCCAACGGAGAGGAGGCCTTCCTCTTCCTCTGTTACCAGCATCGCGGCCCGCATTGAATACTTTCAGAGCAGGAGCGTTTCTGTCCATTCGAACGACATGGCCAAGCCAGCGGAGCCGCTGAATTTTAATTCGCTGCACTATCTCTAATCATTGTAAAGCTCATACAGCTCATCGTTAAATCGTCCGCGGTATTCGCCATCGCCAACGCGTAAAGGACCGTAAATCTTTCGCAGAACCTTTCTCTCGCAAACTCCAAGAGCCGCTTCATCAGATGTTTTCATTTTCTATGCCTCCGTGCCATACACCAACACAGGCATGATGAGTGACTTATAGAGTGTATTTTTCGTACGTCGAGAGAGGACTTTACTCCTGAATTGCCTACTAAGTCCAAAGTAGCATTTGTTGGCAAGAGCGATTCTGCGTTAGATTTCCATGCTGACATTATTGTCGGTGTTAATGCTGGTTCCCAAGTAAACAAAATTCACTACGTTCTCGAAATTCTAACTGTCAACAGTGTCGTGGGTACCAAGACGCGAATGTGCTGACTATTTGTTTGTTGACAGGAGTTACTTCGTCTTGTCCTCGTTTACCACCAGACCCATTCGCTTTGCTTCCTTATCCAACTTGGAAAAGGCAGAACAGACTTCGCGGTTTTTGTTACCGATGATATCGATGTCATCGGCATAAGCCAGCAA